AAATGGGCACCCGAGCTCAGTTTTTGGCTGCAATGGCCTCCTGCAACCCTCTGCCAGTGAAAACAGAGCTTGGGAGAGCCACACACAGACTCCAGAGCTCTGTTTTCACTAGCAGAGGCACCTTGGGCCAATCCACTATTTCCAGGTCAGCCCTATGGGCCAGATCTAAGCACTCCATGGGCCAGATTCAGCCCGTAGGCCTTGAGTTTGACACCCCTCTTCTAGATGGTCATCTGGTACATGGGAATGGAAAGATCAGAATCAACTGCTCTCTTCATTCCTCTTTTCAGTTTCTCAGATTCAAGAAACACTTTCCATGAGGAACTAAGCCCATATACTTGAAAAACTCACAATGCATAATCTGGACCCATTAAACACAGAACAGGAGAATGAGGGGAGATTATATAATGGCACTCTGTAGGTATAATTATTTGACATGATTAACTTTACTTAAATTAGACTTTAAAATCATTCCAAGGCTAGAACTATGGTTCAAGTTGTCTATCTTAGCCACAATCTCAAACTTTGGTTTGTAGTAATGTTACATTAATTGTTCTACCTGCAATCTAAATCCATATACTTGGTGAGGTGGGTTGGTGGGAGGGATTTTTTAAAATTCAAATGTATTCCATCTTTTTTATTTATATGTCATACAAGCAATAGCCTTGTCCAGAAAGCTAAAAAGGTTGTTAAAAATCAAAATAAGGATTTAAAACTCTTATTTATTTGCTTCTCTGATTTTTACCCTACCTTTTTACTTTGGTGACTACTCAAGACATCTACAAAATTTAGAAACAAAACAGAAAATAAATAAAAAAATACTGATAAAAGGAACAATAAAACAATTGGTGTTTATTTATCATCCTTGTACATAGCTATATTTTATGATGACTCCCAGTGGGTAACAACATGAGCATGCACATCAAATATCCATAGTAAACCAATTTAAATAATTAGATTTAAATTAATCAAATTAACACAGGCACAGTAATGATAATCATAATAAACATACATAAAAATGTCAGAGCATCATATAATTACTTGGATCGGGATATTAACAAAATTAAGCACGTCTATTATGACTAGCAATTAGCAATTAAAAGCCTGTTGAAATGAGTTGCTCTTCTAAAGGCAAAAATATGGGGACTAAGTGCAACCCAAAAGATTTTATGTCAGTCTTCTCCCACTTCCACAGCAAGAGTCCTCTGACAATGGAGATGAGGTCTCCTGAAAGACAAGTGGCAGAATATAGCCAATCTTGGTGGTGCCCAAAACAGTTAAGAAAGGTCATACCTCCTTAGTACTTGAAATGATAACCAGAAGGTTATATCACAGCCATAGGTTAAACTGGGTACCTTCCATAGGTAACAGTAATCTTCCATACCAGTCTATAGAGATTTTTAGTCATCCAGGTCATGGTTGTCCCAAAGGTGCTTTTTCAGGAGGCAACTGGACATTCTGTTTTTTTTTCTTTCTTTTAAAGCAAAACATCTTCAGAAAAGAAAGTCCAGTTGCCTCCTGAAAAAGCATCTTTGGGACAACCTTCCATACCGTTACCAGGAAAACTACACACATGTCCATAAAATCCAGAATTGCCAGCTGAATGCCAAAATGTGCATTAGGATTTCATCACATAAGCTCTGCCCCTTGCATACTGCAAGTTATTGTTCATATATTCCATTAAGCCCTTTATCTGGTTTGGTTTAGCGTATTGTAAAAAAAAACAATGACATTTATTTCCTAAGTACAATTAAAAAAACCATAACAACAGGGCCGTATAGAAATAAAATGATCTCTCACTCTTCCTAGCTGACCTTATTTATTTATTGTAAAACTAAAACAGAGGGAAAATAGACATTTCTTAAGCATTTTGGAGGAGAGGCATGATAGCGATGTAGTAAACATAACCTCCAGCCCATGTTTTCTTCTTCAGAAATGTCTGAGCTCTGGAGATGCTAATCTGAACATTTTTACTTAGAAGTGTATAATGGGTCACTAAAAACTAGGACATATATTTGTGCAAGTAGTCCTCGACTTAAGAGCACAATTGGATCGGAATTTCCATTAAAAAAGTAAGACATTTTGATTTGATGACCTTTATTGCTACAGTTGTTAAGACCAATCACTGCAGTCCTTAAGTGAATCTTGTTCCCCCATTGATTTTGCTTGTTGAAAGCTGGATGAGAATGTCACCAATGGTAACTACATGACCCTGGGATGCTGCAACCATCATAAATAGCAATAGTACTTAGACTTCTATACCACTTCACAGTGTTCTACAGCCCACTGTAAACACTTTACAGAGTCAGCCTATTTTCCCCAACAAACTAGATCCTCATTTTACTGACCTCGGATGGATGGAAGGCTGAGTCAACCTTGAGCCTGGTGAGATTCAAACTGCCAAATTGCAGGAAGACAGCAGTCAGCAGTAGTAGCCTGCAATACCGCATTCTAACCACTGTTCCACCACAGCTCTTTATTTTAAATATATGAGTGCCATGCACCCAAATTTTGATCACATGACTATGGGAATGATGAGACAGTTGTAAGCATGAGGACCAGCCATAGGTTACTTGTTTCAGTGTCATTGTAACATTGAACAGTTTCTAAGCAAATGCTTGTAAGTCAAGGACTACCTGTGTATGATTAGGAACAGGTATCCAGGATCATTGTGTGAGCTGCCACAAAGAAGAGGGAGTCAAGCTATTCTCCAAAGCACCTGAAGGTAGGACAAGAAGCAATGGGTAGAAACTAATCAAGAAGAGAAGCAACTTAGAACTAAGGAGAAATTTCCTGACAGTTAGAACCATTAATTAGTGGAACAACTTGTCTCCAGAAGTTGTGGATGCTCCAACACTGGAAGCTTTTAAGGAGAGATTGGATAACCACTTGTGTGAAGTGGTGTAGGGTTTCCTGTCTAAGCAGGGGTTTGGACCTCTAAGGTCCCTTCCAACTCTGTTATTCTATTCGATCAGTGCATTTATTCTTTTCAACCACATAGCTCTTCCAACACTCACATATATGCAGTACACGGCACAAAGTTCACACTACATGAACCTTTCAGTTATAAAGAAGCTGTCCCACTTTTACAGTAGCCAATGACATTTACTATCCACCTGGTGAAATGATGGGTGCTTGAGCTGAAATTGTATCCCATTTCTTTTGAATCTGAGACATTGGTCTCAGTTGTTTATATCAAAACTGCAGACAATGTGCCTCCAAAGAGTTAAAGCCTTGCAGATGCCTATGAATCAACTTCTCAAGGGAAGCCACAATAACTGTCAAAACAGCTACCAGTGCACCGACAACAGTCTGGTACAAAACAGTCCGGTGCACAATTTTAACATAAGACTCCTAATACTTTTATGCATGGCATCTTTGCCTTTTTTTGTACTGAAAAAGTATGCTGGATAGGTAAACAATGAAAGAAATGCTTAAATGCTTGAAAGAAATGCTCCAGCACAAATATGACAACCAGATTGACAACCCTTCTGAAAATCAGAGATGCGAACCTATTCCAAGTATTAATATTTTTTGACAACTAAAAATTCCCATGCACAGTTTTCTACACACCCAAACAATCAGCCCTGCACAGTAGGAACCCTGATAGATTGATATAGATGTTATATCCCCAAGACTCCAGTTTCAAATTTATCTAGATTTATTTTCCATGTCAAAGGCCGTGGCTTCCTGACTTCCCTGATCTATAAAAAGTTTCATGAATGAAGGAATCCTCTGGGGGAAACATACCATCAACATCTGACTTGGAGAAACGGTTTACTTGAATGGTATTTCCATGTGGCCCACATGCAGAGTGACAGCACATTTTTAAAGAGACAGCTAACAAAAGTATGATGGGTTCATCTTGCCGGAATGGTTTAATATCACAAAACTTCAGAATTGTCTGGTGCAGATGATGAGATACAAGACTCACTAAGTGTAAATAATGTAGATTTTTTTTCTACTTGCAGGGCCAGTTTTATTCAAGTGGGATGAATGCTGCAGATCTATTCCTGAGAGTATTTTGCATCAATTTGGACTTTTCAGTACATTTATACTCCTAAGCAATCGAACTACTGAAGCCATGAAGATTTACTTCTGGGTAATCATGTATATATATTGTGTAATCATATATATGATTGCATTACTGGCTTCTTATCTCAAACAGTTGTGCCAACACAAGCCTATGCGTGTTGATTCTAAAGGACGCCTGTTGCCTTGACATCAGGTCTATGCACATTTTACTTAAAGTATTAACATCTACTTCTTTTTATAAAAAGCAAATGTTGCACCGTTGCACATCATCCACCACAGATCTCACTTCTGGGTGAAGTTACCTAGGATTAAGCCGCACATCTCCAAGGTGCCACAAAACTTTAAACCAAACCCCGTTGCAAATGCAAATGGCACAGCTGTACTGAAGTTTGTTTACTCTTTTGCTATAACGGGGGCTCCTCTTCAGGAAAGAGAAGGAAGTAAAAAGTCAGGCTGCCTCAATCAGTCAATTCCCGATTTCTAAATCAGTTTACTATCAAGGCATTTTCTCCAACCCAATTCCCACAGGGCAGCACTCACCCCAGTCCCATTTGAGGGAGAATTCTGTGACATTCAACGCTTGCTACTCTACCAGCACAGTCGAAGCTCCTGAAAAATATCCATTTAATGCCAGCGCACATCTCCTATTTTCCATTTGCTGAACCGCTATCTAGAAACGTGCCTTGCAAGTCTTTCGGGTATGGTGCGCAGGGATCTGGAAAGGCTCAACTCTCCGCAAGGTATAAGTTAAATAACTATAACACTAAAGCAGCCGCTGTCTTGCTTTTCTTCTCGTTTCAGACACTCCGATCGATCCCAGCAACCCACCCGGGGGCCGCGAGGAGCATCTGGCAAGGCTCAAAAGCCGCCGGTCAGTCTTGGATGAAAACGCCAAAGGGAGAAGCGGGGATGGGGAGAGAGAGAAATAGGGGAGGGACACCCCAAAGCAATGGCAAAATACTTACGCCCAAACGTCTGCTCCTAATCTTGACATACCCTTGCTTCACTATATCGTTAAAATTAGAAGCCATCCTGGATTACGGCGGACGAAGGCGAGCTGGAGGAAAGTTGCAAACGCAAACCAGTTTGTAGCTGTGCCTGGCTGGTTTGGCTTCTCGCTTGGCTGCCGTTTGAAACTGCCCCTCACCCACCCCAGATCGATCCGTCTTTGGGATAAATCCTCCAGTCCTGACCCAGAAGCTCGGCGACCAGTACAACTGTTTTCCTGCTCTCTGTCTCTCTAACTCTCTCTGTCTCTCTCTCTCTCTCTCCCTCTCTTAGAGAGACAGAAAGGTAGCTTGAACGCTGCGTAGGTCGCAGCGGAATGAGAGAAGGGAATCAGCCCAAATACTCTTCCTTCTCCCTCCTCCCCAGTTTGTGCTTGATTTTCCTAGTAGGGACTACAGTTCCCTCTCTTGCTTCCTGGATGCAGGAGCAAATTTCCCTCCTTTCCACCTCACCTTTTGATAGGGCAGAAGTACCATCTGCAACTAGAGAGGAGGGGGAAGTGACAATCTTATAGTATAACACAAGGGGCTCTAATTTCAAGTTCAATAAGCTTCTATTCTAGCATCTTTGACTAATGCCAAGAAGGGACTATCATGATCATCAGACTAAGAATTGACCAAGTTTCCTCAAGCTTCTGTCCTTCAGGTATGGTGAGCAAAAACTTCCATGAGGATTGTAGTTCAACACATCTAGATGAATAAATAAATGGGGGGGGGGGGCAGGAGATATGGAGTATGTTTTCTAGAGCCTATGGGAGCGGGCAAGTGTAATAAATGCAAATTAACAATAAAATAATAATCTTCATTATGAGCTACTCAAAGCTTCTTAATGTTGCACACTATCCTGAAATGTATTTGAAGGAGCAAGATAGAAACAGTGTCAATGAGTTTGAAGTGTGTCATTAGCTATGACCCCTGAATATACCATGGATAGCCAAAGATAAATGGATCATTGAACAAGTCAACCGACAGTTCTCACTCAAGGTTAAGCTCAAATTATCTTACTTTGGATTCATTTTCGGAAGACCTAGTTCTCTGGAGAAGGTTCTAATGTTGTGACTGGTGAATGGAATGAAAAGAGGATGATCATCACCAAGATGAATGGATAGCCAGTTACAGTGGTTGATGGATCCATGGTTGAAAGATCTGAAAGACCAGGTTAAGGCTGGATTGTCCTGGAGAAAATTGGTCTATGTGGTCAGTGAGAATTGACACTGACTTGATGGCATGCAATCAATCAAATATGTATTTAGTAAGATATAGCAATGTTGAAAATATTGATTTTTATGTTGTAGGATATATTAGATTCTGAATCTAGAAAAATTAAATGAAAACAAGGGCCACTTAGTTAAGGTCATTCTAACTGGGAGACCCTTTCTCCTTTTGGATATGGTATTTTCTCAAGAAAATGGTAATATATCAATATCTGAAATTATTTGCAGAGGAACATGATTTTCTAAGAAGTAGGTTGGAGAGAAGAAAATCCGAACATACCAGTGACAAGAAATGTTGAGTTCCTAGTGCTTTTGCAATCATCCCCCTCTCACCATCATTTATTTCAAAAAATAGTATGTGTTCTAATGTGTTCTGTATCCAAGGAGGATTGTAAGTACTTATAATGTCAATACAATGAGGATTCTGCTTCACACACTTTGGGTTCAAAGATGTGATGATTGCAAATTCAGAAGCAGTAATCTAACACCATCTCAGGAAACGTAATTATATTGGAAATATATGTCTCAGATCTTAACCACATTTTTTCCAGCCCCACACCTTGCAATTTCTAATACCAAATGATATCACAAAATTGAACATGAGAATTTTCTACAGTCAACACTTGTGCTGTAAATGATAATGATAATACAGCAACTGCTATTTAGCATTAAGTCAGTGTTAATTCTTATATATTATATATAGGTATTCTACATGTTGACTTGTCCCTTTAAGTTATTGCTGGATGCTTCTTCACTTTCCATTCATCTTTCCCCAAATTATGGACTTCTCTAGGTAGCTGGGTCTACAGGTGTCTAAAATATTTGAGACAGTTCATTTGTGCTTCAAATGAGAATTCCAAATTGACTTGATTTATGATCAGTTTGTTTGTTATCTGGTATTCTCAGCAGTCACCTCCATCTCTGAAGTTCAAGGCATCAGTATGCTTTCTATTCCGCTTCTTTAAAGTCCAACTTTGACATTTGTAGAGTAACACAAAGAAAACTATTGACTGCAGAATTCTAATTTTTGTACAATACATATAAACACAACACAGCATTTTCTCCAAGACCTTCACTGCTGCCGCCATATCAAGTGTTAGTCTAGAGTGAATTTCTTGACTGCTGGTTCTTTTATTGTTGATAGGTTATCTTAAAAGGCAAAAGCAATCCACCATTTCAATGTCTTCATGGTCAATTCTAAGACTGATTGCTGAACCCGTTGTGATTAATTTGATTATATTTAACTGTAGCCTCAATTTTCACTGTGCTCTGTGACTTCCATTATTAGAGCTTGCAACTGATTTGCATGTTGGCTATCAACATCCTGATAAAGATTATTGATACTTTTTCTCCAAATATAAAATCACACACATCTTCCACTCCATCTTCACTCAAAATATATTCTGCACATAGATTGAATAAATAAAGGGAGAATATAGAGTCTTACTTCATTCCTTTGCCAACTGAGCACCAAACTACTTCACTAAATGAGCTGAAGAAGCTTCTTGAATGAGAAGCGAAACATCTTCAAAGAAAAACAAGAAAGTCCAGTTGCCTCTTGAAAAAGCACCTTTGGGACAATCTACTTCACTGTTTTCTGCCCAGATTGGCTTGCTGTCCTATGTACCAGAGGTGGTATTCAGCAGGTTCTGACCAGTTCTGGAGAACCGTTAGCAGAAATTTTGAGTAGTTTGGAGAACCAGCAAATATCACTTCTGACTGGAGATTTTACAGTATCCTTCCCCTGCTACACCCACCAAGCCACATCCACAGAACTGGTAGTAAAAAAAAATGAATCCCACCACTGCAATGTACAGATTTTTATGAGAACAATAAGATGTTCTGAGATTCCCACTTAAGGATTTTCCATAGCTTGACATGGTTAAAATCAATTGAAGGTCTTCCCATTGTCAGTGAATGTCTTTTTGCTATTCTTGTGCATCAAGAATAATGCCTATTGTTTCTCAGCCTTTTCTAAAACCAGCATGAACATATGTAGGGCTCTAATCTGTGTTAGATCATCCTGAACATTATTTCACATGCATACAAAATTAAGGATATTGTTCAATACTTTGCACATTGTTAAGTCTTCTTTCTTTGGTATTGGTATGTAAACTTGCTTCTTCCAGTTTGTTTACCATTGTGCCATTCTTCAACTTTGCTGGCCCAATTTGGTTAGCATCTCTACAGATTTCTACTGTATGGTTTATTCTTTCCATCTTTGTTAATGCGTTACTGCTTCAGGTTTCTTCTCTTTTTTGTTTGTTGTATTTTTTTCTGGTCTCTTTTCACATTGACCCTTAATAACATCTTTGATTTCATTCCATGTTCCTCTGGTTCCCTATCAATGAAGCTTGGGACTTCCAAGAGATTCTTGAAAAATGGCGAGATTATAGACACTCTCTTATCATGGAAACTGGTCAATTTCATTCTTCCACTTCATATTTGGAACTTGTATATTTGATCCATTCCACGCTCAACCCCTGATCACATCTTTAGCATTATAATTGAGATCTTCCAGCTCCTTGTACCAATAAGGTAGTCAATTTGGCTTCTGTAGACTTCATTCAGTGATGTAGTTGCATTGCCTACACATTGCCTACACATTGTGATAGCATCTTCCCATCTTTTCTTCCTTGTGGGGAGAAAATTGACATTGTCTTGCTATATTTGTCCTGGATAAGCTGAAAACTTAAATAGAGACAAATGCTGCTACTCTGGTAATCTTCAAGCTTTTTTCACTATATTATCATTAGGCAATCTCAACTCTGTGTTAGCATTTATAATTGCAGGAGAACAAAAGGTCAGACTGAAGTATTGGTGGCTCTGTTATTAATAATTTACATGAATAGTAATTATAATTACATTATTCTGTAGAGTGGGTGAAAATGTTTAATCTGTGGTGCAGCTTCACAAAGATTTCATTTGGCAAGAGAAGGAAAAGCACTTAAATGGTTCAACCAAAAGGATCGACAATTCATTCCAGTGGTCTTCCATTGTTTGCCCTTCTGAACTTCTCTTCCTGAAGATGAGAATATGAAAGATCCCACTGTTTTTTAAGACTTTGAACAGTAATATCAACCTTTAATGGTGTTTTCTGAAAATAAGGAACCAACACCTTCACAGAGCATAGAGCTCATTCAGCTCTTATGCTAGTTTTGAAAGATATGACTGTTCTGCATTTATGGATGCCTTTGTACACACATACAGGTTATAAGCATTGGAAAAACTAACATATGAATGAGGTGAGTCTATAGATATTCAGCAATATTTGCTGGTCTTATGGATCAAGTCAAAGCTCATTTTAGGCTTTATAGTGATCAATTTGATGCTTTCAGGATATTCAGAACAAGAGATCCTCTATCTACCAGTATCTACCTCTCTCTCTGTCTCTCTCTCTCTGTCTCTCTCTGTCTCTCTGTCTCTCTGTCTCTCTGTCTCTCTCTGTCTCTCTCTGTCTCTCTCTCTCTCTCTCGTTCTCTCTCTCTCGATATCTCAATATCTTGATATTTCAGTATATCTATCTGTCTGTCTGTCTGTCTGTCTGTCTATTCAATAGAAGAAAATATAATGCAGGATTGAACTGTGGAGTCCGTGGTACTCTCTGACCTTGGTTGTTTGCTTACAGATGTTTCATTGCCCAACTAGCTGGAAGACACACACTATTCTATTGCTCATTAGCATTTCTGAAACTTTATTGTGATTTTAATTTTATGCAGTGTGTTAAGTGATAAACTAGGTAGAATTCCTGAAAACAAATGCCATAAATCCAGATGATCTGCTGCTTAGTCTTATCATCAGTTTCATGTTGATGGAGAAAAAAAATCCTAC